ACATAGATCCTGACTCTTAACGAATCTGACTGTGCTGGACAGGTTTGTGAGCTACCAGCTCAAATACTCTTGTGTGTTACAGCCCTTCGTAGAAAATTAAGTACATAACAGGTTCCACATGTATTTGACTATCTGTATGTTTTCATTAGAGTATACATGTTCAAGTACATGTTAAGTGGTTTTTCTACAGGCTCATAATTTTAGTTACATCAAGGTTTTAATCATCCAAGATTAAGACTGTATTCCTCTACTGATGGTAAATAATTTATAAATGTGGCCAGAGTTGACAAATTGAGGTATGTCAAGACTTCAGTTTGAACAAGAATAAACTTTATTTTCTGTTAAAGCATCCTGGTAGTACTGTGATGAACTTTTCCAGTCAGGTCATAACAGCTCATCTGAAAATGGATCTGAGGACACCGAGGCTCACAGAATGTTTTAGTAAAACACACACGGTTGTAAGCAGATATGTGAGGTGGTATGTCAGCGTAGCTCCAGTAACACCTGGGCAGGCTTGTGAGCAATGCTAAGATGTCAAACATACACACCTCAGAGGTCCTAAAGTGATTTACTGCTCCTCTTGTCCCTTTTTGTCACTCCTGGTCTGATGAAAATGTCAATGGATTCTCCCGGGAAGAGCAAAGCAGTTTCAGAAGTGTCAGTAAACCCGTTTCAGGGACTCCAGAAGTGGCCTGGATGGCTGAGTTTCCCCTCGTGATGGAGATGTAACACTCCATCTCCTCGATCATCTTCTCAGCAGCCTTGCAGCTGCCATGCAGTCCTTTTGCAGACGTTGAGTAACATTTGAAAAGTCTCAGCTCTTTCACAGAGCCTTGTTTAAGAGGAAATGGCTCTGGGCTGATGAGGTGATGGCTTAACAGGGAAGAGGCTTGCCTCCAAACCCGAAGACCTGGGTTTGATTCCTGCACCCCACATGGCAGAAGGAGAAAACCAACGCCCACAAGTTATCCCGGATCGCCACAGGAGTACACACACAATAAAATATAATAAACCTTTTACTTTTTTAGGGTAAAGAAATGATTTCTCAGAACGGTGGTAACTTCCGTGGGGCTGGAATTCTTCTTACAACTCGGATTCTCCCCATTCTCTGGACATCTTCCAAGTGCACAGTCTATGACAGAAGCTTTGTATAATGATTAGAAGCAAGGTGGTTCACAAAGGTCTATCTGGTCTTCAGTGTGCCAGAATCTGGATTGATTTGTCTATATCTTTACATATAGCAATTGGGGGGGATTAATACACATGTCCAGCATTAGGTCAGTATGCAAAAACACAAATGTTTTTCCAGACACACTTGACTGTAGTAGAGGGAAGGTAGGGTTCATATTTCTTGGCGCAATAACATTAGCTTTCTGTGACTGTACTATCCAATGTGGTCGCCATGAGGCACAACATGATCATTTAAATTTAAATTAGTTGAAATGTAAAAACTCAAAGCTGGACTTTGGTGGTACCTGCCTATAGTCCCATATTTTAGGAGGCGGAGGACAGAGAATTGGGAGTTGCAGGTCATCCTTGATTATACAGCTAAGTTTGAGGCCAGTCTGGGCTACGCAAGAACTTGTCTCGACAAAACAACCCAACACAAAAAAAAACCCCTCTACAGCCCCCTAAGTCTTCATTGGTTTTAGCCATACTGGTCACACTTTAAGCATTGGTAACAATGATTTAGTTGTCAAGGATCAGACAGAACAGCTATAGAGCATTTCCACCATTGTGGAAGTACTGTTAGGGGCACCCTCTCCAGAGGCACCCCCTCAACCCCCCAGCTTTCAGACAGCTGGCAAGCTCAAGCCTTGAGGGCAGAAGAGCTGCAAATAGGCCCTAAAGAAACAGAACACCCCTATCTGAGCAAAGTTCCCTAGATGAAGGAAGCACTAGACCATGTAACTAGGAACAGACAGGAGCAGATTTTCTCCTACGTCCCCTCTGCAGAGACAGGGGAGGGGACCTGGCAGATTTGATAGTGAACTTTTAGAAACTTTTGGTTGGCCCAGTGTTCTTCTCTTTTCTCACTAAGTTTGACAGCTCTTCCCTGATTGGTTTCATTTCCTCATCTTATTTGCAAACCCAAATTCTGCCAATCAGAGTCTAGTTGGTACCCTATAAATTCAGGCTAAAGCCCACAGAAGGCAGACATTCTTGTTCTTTTCAGAGGAAGAGGTCCGAATGAAGACTTCAGGATCCAGTTCCTAGGCAGCTCACTCGGCAGAGAAGAAAGACTACCTTTAAGAGTTACTGGAGATGTTAGTTCCTGGCACTCAAGGCTTCTGTCCAGGACAGACAGCATAGTCTGGTCTGGTCCCAGGACTCAACCAATGGCTACAGGAAGTAGGGGTTGGGGGAGACTCATTCATCCTCAGCCTCTGAGACACTGCAGCTGCAGACAGGAATTTACTCAAACAGCTGCTTCCAGCCTCCAAAAGTTCCCAGTGAAGGTGGCACAGGCCTTTAATTCTAACACTGTAGTAGAGGCAGAGCAGGTGGATCTTGTAAACTGGAGGATATCCTCATCTCATCCTGAGTTCTAGGTCAGCCAAGGCTAACTCAAGTCCAAGCAAGAAGCAAGCAAGCAAGCAAGCAAGCAAGCAAGCAAGCAAAAATCAAACAAAAACTCCAAACAAATCACAGAATATTCTTGGAGCTTCCATGGCTTCTAGACAGCTTCCTACTGTGGACAAGAGTTCAAACCTACTTTATTTAAATCCTGTGAGGTAATTTTCAAGCTGTTTTAACCTGTTTAAAGTTGTTAATCATGAATTGATAATAAAGTACCTCCTGTTTACTCTTTGATGTCTGTGGATACCACCCTTGGAGGAGGGTGACCAAGAACCAGGCTGAAGACAAGATGGTCTCCACTGACCACCACAGCACTATTGTAGGAGGCAACCAAACATGAATCACGAACTAGACCATTTTCATCTGTGGCTCTAGCCCTTTTCCCTAGATTCAAAAACTCGAGCTCCTTATAAACTGAGTGTAAGTGTCGGTTACAATATGATTTCTGCCTTCATGAAATCTTTGACCTTTTTGGAGGAAGAGAAACACGTAAATAACAATGAAATGAAGACACGCATCATAAATGAAGAGCAGACACGCTTAGGGAAATAATGCACACATAGAGAAGAGCGTGGGTGAAGTACCAGCTGAACAGAGGCAAAACGGCAGCGAAGAAACTGAGGTTGGTGGAACAAAACGGCTGTGAGGCCACTGGAACAAGGAGGCACGGAAGGAGGCAGACGAGGACAGAGTTTCTGTTTCATTTAAGGAAGTACAGGTGAATGAATATGCTCTTGCAAGAGCAAAGGATAATCTACATTAGAGGCTGTAGAACATCGAGACTCAATAACTGATACGTCTACACCAACGCTGCTATTTTTCTCTGCAGCAATGCCACTGGTGACGTCTGAGTTTGCTGCATGAAGATAATGGGAATAAAACTATGAGGAAGTGGGAGCAACGCCTGGATGAATGGAGCGGACAGCAGTTAGGAAAAACCCTTAGCTCATTAATGCTTGGATTGAGTCACCTCCAACGTCTCTGGTGACTTTTATCACGCTAATAGATATGATTGTGCCTTTTTCTTCAGCTTGTGCAAGACAAAATGGTCATCATGATTATATGCACCGTACTGGAAGGGGAACTGAGGTTTAAATTTTTTTTTTTTTTAAGTAAGACGCTATTTCTCTAGCAGAGAATGCTGTCAAAGGATCTCTTTCTTCTGTTATCAAATGTTCAGGAATGTATATCTGCTCTCTTTGTCATCTACCCAGTCACACCTAGCAGGAAGCAGATTTGCCCTGGTGGGAGAAAACAGGGCTCATGAATGTAAAAGTCAGAAGAAGGACCAAGGAAATTCGACAGAGATTTTAGGTAGTTCCACAACATAGATGTTACTAAGCCTTTGTAGCTTTTTATATCACCTGAAAATCAAGTATAAAAAGATGCTAAGCCATCCAAATAGAGTATCTTCATCAAACCCCTTCAGGGTTCAGGGATCTACACAGAAGAGGAGGAAAGATTGTAAGAGCCAGAGGTGATGGATGTCTCCAAAGAAAAGTGTCTTCCAGATACAACAGAACTAGTTCCCATACAGACTTACAGAAACTGTGACAGCATGCATAGGACCTACAGAGGATCAAGCCAGATGCAGTCCTAGAGCTGAGAGGGTGAAGTGGACACAGCGTCCCACCTTTAACTAAAGAGCTATCTGAAACTGGTACCCACTCGCCAAAGAAAATTACTTTTCTCCAGTGGAGACTCACCAGGTATAATAACCACATTTCAGGGTAGGCCCCATGCTTAGGAGTAGTTGGCTAACACAAAACAAACTCAATGGTATTTTTGCAGACAACATCTTTTCAAAACAAACAAACAAACAAACAAACCTCAAGAAACAACCATTAGCTTGAAGGCTGTATAAAAAGCACACTTCAGGGTGGGCAAGATGGCTCAGTAGGTAAAGGTACTTGCCACGAAGTTTGACAACCTGAGAGTTTGCCACATGAGTGCTGAGCACACTGCTAGACACTAAGTAGGTGATGAGAAACGAGACCGAAGGAGCACTGGTTCTATCGCTTAAATGATTCGTTTTGACCTAGCAGGTAGGATGGTTCACCAGGCTTGGCTCCATTGCCAGAACAGCAGCACCACCGTCCCACTATTCAGGCTCCTAGGCATCTGTTCCAGAAAATAGCCTCCGGGCGCTCGGGCCACATCCAGGACGCCACACTCATAGGTTTGGCAACTGCAGACGTGCTGTGTAATTTGGCTCACCTCCTGCCCCTTTGGGCCAATCCTGGCTCCGTTAGAACTCACCTGCTTTGCAGGTACGCCAAACCGAGGCGTGGCGAGGCACGGCGGCGGGAGTGGCCGAGGCGGGGAGGGGCGGGGCGAGGCTGCTGTGGGCGGGGACAGAGCCCGTTGAAGCTCCAGGCGCAAGGCCCCTGCCGCCAATCGCCGCAGTGACTGCCGGGATGCGCCGCAGCGAATGGTCGCGCGGGGCGCCGCTCTGAGTGACCTTTCACCCGCGCCCAGCGGCCTCGGGCGGCAGCACAAGGCGGAAGCCATGGCGGAGGCGGCGGGCGAGGCGGGCGCGAGGGAGCGGGACCCAGATGCGGGACGCGCGCGCCGGCGGCTGCGGGTTCTGTCGGGCCATCTGCTGGGCCGGCCCCAGGAGGTTCCGAGTACCAATGAGTGCAAAGCGCGGAGAGCCGCGTCGGCGGCCGGGGCGTCGCCCGCCGCCACTCCCGCCGCGCCAGAGTCGGGCACCATCCCCAAGAAACGGTGAGTAGCGGCCCGGGAAGGAGCTGGCGGCGGGAGGCCACGCGCGGCCTGGGCTGAGGGAGAGGAGAGCACGGGAGTGGGCAGGGAGTTGACACGGTGGGCGGAAGGCATTCCGGTCTCTGCGAGTACATCGGCTTGCGGACTGGGAGTGGACCAGATACACAGGACTCTGTTGGGAAGGGGCGGGATGGCTTGCCGGGATTTTGATCTCTTTGAAGGAAACACATTTCATGACCTCGTAGGGAGAAGGGTTTAAGCGGATCCCCTCTCTTGTTTTTTTATGCTAGAAACTCATTCTCTGTCTTGGAACGGGTAGCAGGAGGGTTCTTAATCGAGGGGGAGGTTCAAATTTACACTAGATAATCAGATTTCTGCTAATTCTCAAAAGCCTGGGTGCGGGCACGTTGGGGTGAGGATCGGTGGTACCCTGGGGAAAGGTGTTGAGTGGTTTTCTGTAGGTAGGTTACCACTTCTTTGTGGTCATGGGTTCTAACTTTAAGGGAGGAAACCAGTGAGTAAGTGAGTAAGATGCAGTGGACTGCAGGCATTAGTAGTGACTTAAGACTTTGGTATTCTAGCTACTGATCCTTTAAGAAGCTAAAAGACAGGAGTCTGAATCAGTAACGTTTGTAAAATCTTAAGACCACTGGAGGAGAATCTCTATCTCAGATGAACGCTGGCGAGAGATGTTGTTTTCTGAGATGATCAGTTTGAAAAACTTGGAGAATGAAAAAAAAATATTTTGGTAACTTGAATGTGTACTTTCAAAGTTCTGGAGATGGGGCTAAATCTGTTACTTCTAAGTTCCTAAGCTATTAGGTAGACGCAATTGTCTCCCATTTTAAGGATGAAGAGATTAGAAAAAAGATTAAGAAGTGTGCTGCAGGTAGCAGGTAACTGTGTTACAGTTTACACATCAAAAGCAAATCAAATGGACTGCTTCATTAATTCATCCCATGTAAGCCCTTACTACATACACACTGTGCCAAAACTGCAGGGATTCTGAAATGTGCTATTCACTATAGGGCACTAAAGTAATGATACAGTATAAGAAATTCAGTTGATAATTGAAACTCATGCTTATTTAACCCTAGTTTTGAGTATATGTATTTGTTAGGATTCTGAGCCAGGATTTTCTGTGTAAATATTGAGATTTGTAATGAAAACAGCCTACTGGAGGGGAAGAATGTTCATGGCAGACAAACAGAATGGTCACAGGTAAAGAAAGTGGGGGACTAGAGAACTGCCGGACGCAGGTGTGTCAGAGCCGAGAGAATGACAAGGGACGAGGGAGGGCTCTCGAGGGAAACTTGTTTCAGGGGATATAGACAGAAAGAACATCAGATTTACTTTTCAGAAAGGACACACTAGAATGGAAATGAAGATTTGGTTGGCACTGTAATGCTTGGAAACAGACTTAGGTTTTAATTCCATTAGGCCTTTTTACCCTATAAGCTTTCTGTCCCCTCATTTTAAGAAAGATGTAGAGCTGGAAGTGGTGGTGTACACCTTTAATCCCACTTGGGAGGTAGAGGCTGGAGACCCTGTCAGAAAACAGAAACAAAACCAAACAAAAAACAACAACAACAAAAAAACCCCAAAGAACTAATCCCTGCTTTGCATTTTTGCTTTGGCAACAGAAAAATGCAGCTGAAAGATGTTCAGTGTACTGACTGTTACACAAACTCTGAACAAATAGCTGTAGTTGCTTGTGTCTGCAGACAGACAGTGGTTATAAATCTCATATCTTTAATGCATAATGCTGGAACTCTGAATTAAGGCATACCATTTTAAGAATGAGGAAGTATGTTTTCCAGAATTTGTTTACTTGGTGATAGGAGAGGATAAAATTGAGAGTCACTTATATCCTCTGATTTCACTGATGTTATATTAGCTGTTATGCGGTTTAAGATTTTTCATTTTTCCCAATGGCTTCATACACATGGCTATTTTCTCATTTGCATGTATCTGTGTGATTAAACATCTATATGTGCACCTACATCGTTAAATTAAGTAGGCAGGGCAGGTTTCCTTAAGACTGGATTTAGTGGCTTTGCCTTCAGCATTTAGAGAAGAAATAGCAATGCTTTGATGTAATAGACTATTTTTTTTTTTTTTTGAGACAGGGTTTCTCTATGTGGCCCTGGCTGCCCTGTAACTAGCTTTGTAGACTAGATTCACTTTGAACTCAGAGATCCACATGCATCTACCCCCTGAGTGCTGGGATTAAAAGTGTATGCCACCAATGCCAGTCTGGGTAAGACTTCTTGAGGCTGTGAGGGTAGCTGCTCTAAGTAGGGGTGGTCCTTGCAGTGGCTGTCAAAGACTGAAGCTGTTGGTAGCCTGGGGACAACTGCAGCCCACTTATGGCATAGGGTGAAAGTGGGAGGAAGCTCAGGGTAGTGGTAACATCTACACTTTAGAACTACTTTGTAGCTTAATCAAAATGCTTGTGTTTAATTCAGTGCAAAGTACACTACTACCATGTATTAAGGGAAACATAAAACCATGTGTTGGATGAAGTATCAGAAACTTTCTCAGAGTATGATCATTCTACTTGATTATTGTTAGTTGGGAAACCCAAGTCTTTCCTGTTTATGCTACTTAGCTGAGTCTTAACATCTACAGCAGCAAGAACTGAGCCTAAAGGGAAGACACATTTAGGAGCAAGAAGGAACCGAGGTACATATCTAGCAAGGTTGATTATAGCTGTGTTCAGTGATTTTGGAATCTTTTGGTGATTTGGGTGTTATTCCTTTTAATTACTCTGGGTGAGTGGTATTGGTTATTGTCTTAGTCAGGGTTCTATTTTTGCACAAAACATCATGACCAAGAAGCAAGTTGGAGAGGAAAAGGTTTATTCAGTTTACACTTCCACATTGCTGTTCATCACAAAAGGAAGTCAGGACTGGAACTCAAGCAGGTCAGGAAGTAGGAGCTGATGCAGAGGCTGTGGAGGGATGCTATTTACTGGCTTGCTTCCTCTGCCTTTCTCAGCTTGCTTTCTTATAGAATCCAAGACTACTAGCCCAGGGATAGCACCACCCACAATGGGCTGGACCCTCGCCCCTTGATCACTAGTTGAGAAAATGCCTTAGAACTGGATCTCATGGGGGCATTTCCTCGAGGGAGGCTTCTTTCTCTGTGATAACTCCAGCTTGGGTCAAGTTGACACACAAAACCAGCTAGTACAGTTATCATTGTTTTTTCTCATGACTGCATATACTTAAATTTATCATAAGCTTGGAGTAGTAATTTCTTAACACGCCATGCTTTCAGTCCTCTTACAGAGTAGTCATGCATATGTTTGTTTAGTGAATATTTGCAGATAAATTGCATTATGACAAGGGCTGTAACTAGGGTGACGGTAAAGCCCTTTAGGAACTCACATTCTAGGAAGAGAGGCTACAATACAAGTTATAAAAGAGAAGCCGGGTGGTGGTGGCGGCGCACGCCTTTAATCCCAGCACTTGGGAGGCAGAGGCAGGCGAATCTCTGAGTTCGAGAGTTCGAGGCTAGCCTGGTCTACAGAGTGAGTTCCAGGACAGCCAGGGCTACACAGAGAAACCCTGTCTCGAAAAAACAAAAAACAAAAACAAACAAACAAAAAAAACCAAGTTATAAAAGAGAACGGTGAGTGTGGGAGAACCAAGATTAGACAAGAAGAGGAGGGGTCTTACAGGATTTACTGCTTGGTTTAGACTGTTTGTTGTAAGATACCTTGATATATTAATCTTTGGTTTGCACAGTGACATAAACCAGGCCTTCTCCAAATGTTCCTCATGTCCAGAGATTATCATGGAGCTGTCTACCCCAAGTTCACTTAGTAAGGAATATCTGGGAGGAAATTCAGATATCTGCTTTTAGGCTACAGAGAAATGAAATGCTGTTGTAGTCCCATGAGATACTTTATAGAACTTTAAAAGCAGATATTAATGTTTTATTTTCTTATAATTGAAAAGATTTATGCTATTTGTGTGATTAGTTTGTTAATTTCAACCCTAAATTAAATCAGAGGATCTTGAGTGGAGTCCACCCTTGAGCAGCATAGTAACTGCTTTCTGTCTTCTCTTTATTTGTTGGATTTTTTCAGAATAATGTCTTTCCCAAAGTCTGAGTCTAGAATCAGCTGAGTGATGGTACAACAGGACACACCAGAAATGAAAATGTTGGTTGGGGAAGTTGTTCATAAGAGCATTTACTGCTCTTGTCAAGGACCTGAGTTTGGTCACCACCACCCTCATGGTGGTTCACAACTGTCTTTTACAACTCAAGTTTAAGGGTATTTTATACCATCTTCTGGCTTCTGAGAGCACAAGGTAGTCATGTAGTATACATAATAAACTCAGGCAAAACACTTATACACATAAAACAAAAATTTTAAAAAAAGAAGTGAAATGTCATCTATTATAGATAGAACATGGCTAATGTTTACCCTGAATTAGATGGATCATGTTATAGGCAGTGTTAGACTTCAGGCTTTATCTGTGGTGAGATAGCTCCAGGGAGCTAACATGAGAGAGTATTTTAAAGAGAGAAAAGATTAACCCAGGTGCTTGGTGCTTTCACTGAGTATTCTGATCACCTCTGTCCTGAGAAAGAGTGAGCATGAGACTTGGGGACAGACCTCCATACTTGTGTTGAAGTCTTCAGGGTTAGAAACAGGAGCTGTGGAATGAGAGTATGGCTAAAATGTTTCTGAAGAAATCAGAGAAACAGGTTAAAGAAGCTACCTAGAACCTGAACAACATTCTTCATTTTTTGTTGCCATGTGCTGCTATCACCATTGCTACTGTACACACATCACACAGAACCTTTGACAGGGCAGCTATGACTATGGAGAATTTGTCTCAATCAGTCTTTTTATGCCATTTCTCATTCTTTGATACCACAATGTACTATAGTTATATACCATACATTCTATAGCTGGATCATCCTTCTTTGATGTTTGTTTTCCTCCAGATGCAATGCATATTGTTTGGTGTTGCACAGGTAATGTG